GGAAGGGGGCGGCCTGTCGGGGCGGCCTTCTCCCCTCGGAGGGCGGAGCTGAGGCGGCGGGGGCACCGGCATGGCTCTAGCCGGGCTGTGGCCTGGTCCCCTGCCGGGACGGGGCTGGTCTTTCGGGGGCCCCTTGACCGCGCTGGGGCCAGAAGACGGCGACCCTCTCGTTGCTGCAGCAGGGGGGTCGGTGCGTGCAGGGGCAGATTAACCCTTCCGCAGACTAAGCCCGTGCTTAGGGCACCAAAGGGGGCCCACACAGTTGGGGAAAGGGTGAAAAGCTTCGTTTGTACAGTCTATTGTGTTGTCCTATGAATACGTTTTTGTATTGCTGCAACCTGCATTGTGTATCTGGTCAGACAGGTGGACCACTAAAATGGACTGGGTCAGTGTGGAAAGGAGGGGGGCACCAAGATTGGTCAGTGCTTAGGGCATCCGCATCCCTGAGCCTTCATCCGCCCCTGGGTGTGATACCCCATTGAGGTCCCTGTCCTCCCCAGGCTCCAGCCCCTACACTGGTGGTGAACCTATGGCACGGGTGCCAGAGGTGGCACTCAGAGCCGTCTCTGTGGGCACGCATGCCATCGCCCCAGCCAGGCCCAGACCATTATTAAAGTGTTGAATTCTCTGCCAAATCATTTTAAGTAAATGAAAGCATTTGGGATCGCTTTCCTTACTTTGTTTGGATCATCTTAAGTTAATGTATGAGTTGTTTTTTCTAAAGTAAAACCTCAGTATTCAGGTTAAATTGCCATGTTGGCACTTTGCGATAAACAAGTGGGTTTTGGGTCGCAGTTTGGGCACTCGGTCTCTAAAAGGTTCGCCATCACTGCCCTAGGAGTTTTCCAGCCTGGATCTTACAACCCTACCCCTCCCTATGCCCTGCTGGTGGCTAGGAGGGACCTGGCAACTCTAGCTCTAGTTGTTGGAGCAGGGAGTACTTGAGTGCCCATAGGGGCATTCAAAAAATAGTTCAGCAGCCTCCCACACCCATTCAGTTTTTAGTTGTTATTATTGTCATCATATGGCAGCCAGGAGATCCTAAGATTGCCTGGCAGATTCAAGTTCTAGCTCTTTAGTGTTATGGCAGTGTGTGCACTATAGACAGGAGATCCTAAGATTGCCTGGCAGATTCAAGTTCTAGCTCTTTAGTGTTATGGCAGTGTGCCATATAGCCAGGAGATCCAAAGATTGCCTGGCAGCCAGAAGGTCTAGCTTTTCAGTGTTATATAACAGTGTGTGTAGTATAGCCAGGAGATCCAAAGATTGCCTGGCAGCCAGAAGTTATAGCTCTTTAGTGTTATGCACCACTAAGTGGCGAGCTAGACGTAGAGGTGGGCTGAGAGAGCTCTGAGAGAGCTGTGACTGACCCAAGGTTACCCAGCTGGCTTCATGTGAAGGAGCTGGGAATCGAACCCAGTTCTCCAGATTAGAGTCTGTCGCTCTTAACCACTGCACCGCACTGGCTCTGTTGTACCATCTGTTCATTTACTGTGCTGCATCTGGCTGGCCTCGGACTCCCACCACTTGTGGATCTGCAGATGCGCAATAAAGCCATTCCGATCATAGGCTAAGAAGCTACCATAAGCCAGACCCTGGAGGCTTTCCCAATGGCCTTCTGCTCTTTCTCCTCTTCCATTCCCATGGTTGACCTTATTGTGCCGGCTCAGTTTAAAAGTGACACCGCTCAGGCTGAAGGACTCAACCATGGGACTGTACGCTCCGGCACCATCTTGTCTGAACTGAGATGCGCCCCCTGCAAAGCAGTCCAGTGTCCTTCTGCACAGTATCCTCAAGGACAATGGAATTCTGGTGCATCACCTAAGTAAGTACCAGGATGCAGCACAGTTCATAACAAAACCTGAGCCTGTGCCGAGTCACGCCGAGAAGTGCTTTGCTTTTCCAGCCTCACCATAATTATTTATTTACTTCATTTGCAGCCTTGCTGTAGCGACATTTCTGAAAAACCCCTCGGGGAGGAGTAGGCAGCGGTGGTGTTAGGAAATCTTATCTGAGCTTGGAGCACATTGGCAGCTAGGTTCCATCCAAGTGGTTGTAGGATCTCTTCCTCCTAGACCTCAGCCTTCCTAATGAGGGAGTGTCAGGTGCAAGCGCTAGACGCAGCACGCCCGCCAGGTGACATGCACCTAAGCAAGCTACAAAAGAGGAAGAGGAAAGAGTAGCAAATGGGTTTTGTTGGAGACCTGGAACTGATGGAAACTGGGGCTAAGAAGTCCCCAGCAAGTATAGGAATGTGAGGAACCTTCTGTGTGGCTGGTTTGTGTTTCCTGAAATTACATTCGTGCTACCACAGCACCTCCGCCTTTGACCACCCTAATCCAGCAGAAAGAACCCCCTTGCCTCTTGCACAAGGCCACTTTTCTCCCCAGCGGGGACCTGAAGTGGTTTATATTGTTTTCCTTTCCATTTTATTCTCACAACAACCCTGTGAGGTAGGTTAGGCTGAGAGTGATAGGCCCAAGGTCTCCCAGCGAGCTTCCATGGCAGAGTCAGGATTTGAAGCTGGGTCATCCAAGACCCTGCCTCACCTTCCCCCCCTTCAAGCCTTTGGGCTGCTTCTCACTGTGGTAGTAAGCTTGTGCCTGTGCTACGCCCCTTCTGACTGCCAATGCCATCTCGCATTTTATCGTGCAGAGGAGATTTTGATTATCTGCACAGAGAGATCGAGTGTGGCAGGGAGCAAGCAAAGAGAAAGCCGCTGCCGTCTCTGATTTTCTATTTGGAGGTAACTTTTGATTTAAAAAAGAACAAAGTTTGAGTCCAGATACCTGAGGAAGTGTGCTTGCACGCGAAAGCTCATACCTTGAATAAAACTTTGTTGGCCTTAAAGGTGTCACCGAACTCAAGACTTTGTTCTGCTGCTTCAGACCAACACGGCGACCCACCTGAATCATTTTAAAAACTGAGCATTCCAAAAATGGAACCTTCCACCTCAGCATTCCGGTGATCCTGTGCCACCTGTAGCACAGAGGTTAGGATCCAAGGGGTGCCCAGCTCAAATCCTTGCTGTTCCTTGAAACTTGGGGCCAGTAACTCAGCCGCACAGGATTGTCGTGGAGATACAGGGAGCGTCATGTATGCCACCTCGAGTCCCTCAGAGGAATGGCAGGATACAAATATACTGAAGACTCTCCTGATGGTGGAAAGTGCCTTCAAGTCATAGTGGATCTAAGGCAACCCCATAGGGTTTTTCAAGGCAAGAGCCCTCCAGAGGTGGTATGCCACTGTCGGCCTCTGGACTTCCCTGGTGGTCTCCCATCCAAATACTGACCCTGCTTAGATTCTGAGGAAATTGGCTAACCCGGGCATTTGCCCCATGCAGAGTCCTGGTATTATATGAGCTTGGTGTGACTACAGTCACCATCAGTCCAGCTTATGGGGGGTCTGACCCGTTATATTTAATTCACCCTCTTTTAATTGTTTAATGGTTTTAGCTGTTTTAAGAATTAAGTTTTATAACCTGGTTTTAATTGTTCATGCACTTTTTGGGAAGGGCGGGATATAAATGTAACTAATAAATACATAAAATATCCAGACCAGGGCATGTGTGAAATACGTTATTTATTAAATTATATTTTAAAACCGCCCTCAGGGTGATGTGCATCAATTAAAAAAAAACATTTACAGAGTTCACACTTAAAACAAAATTTCAAAATTTACATTTATAGTTAGTACAACAGCAAAAATCGCATAAATAATAATAATTGTACAATTACTACAACAGCAATAATAGTATGAATATTATTATTATTAGTTTATTATGGGGGGGGGGACAGACGGAAGCCGTGCTCGTGCACACGTCCTTAAACAGCTTCGCTCCGCCCCCTTGGCCAGGCCCCGCCTTAACACGCCACCTTCTCCTTCCGGATGTTCCGCTCCCCCATCTCGGCCTCAGGGGGACAGGAGCAGCCCCGCCCTTCTCCCCTTAATCCGACTTCCGGGTAGGCGGGGCTTCCGACCTGTCGCGCCTCCTGATTGGGGGACACTCTCCGGCCTCGCCAACATGGCGGCGCCCACGACGCACCTGAACTGTGAGGATTTTGGCGAATTCCAGGTACGAGAGCGGGAAACCGGCGCGGCCTGCGGGCGGCCTTTCCTCTCGCTGGGGGGGGGCTGTGCTGCCAGGGGCCGGAGCTGCCCTCAGCGGCCCCCGTTTCTTCTTCCCCCTCAGGCTGGAGGTCACGGGAGGGAGCAGAGCCGCCTCTCCATCGCTCGCTCTCGCCCGCCCCGAGCAGCGCCTGCCCCCACCGGCCTCTCGGGGAAGGGCGGGAGCCGGAGCGCTGCTTCCCCCTTCCTCCCGCTTTCCTTCCTCCTTCGCAAGAGTTTCTCTCTTAATTCTTAGTCTCCCGGCAGCCCCCACCTCGAGCCAAGGAGAAAATGAATGATGAATGAATATATGGGAGTAATATCGCCCTGCTTCTTTCTTTCTTTCATTTCATTGACATTCTGTTACTGTCTCCAGTGGGGGAAACGAGGCGCCTTACATCGATCTCTCATCTCCGTTTTATCCTCATAACAACCTTGGGAGGTACTAGGATAGGTTTGAGTGCGTGTGCCTGGTTCAAGTTCGGCCAGCAAACTTCCCTGGCAGAGTGGGGGTTCAAACCTGGGTCCCCCTAGACTTTTATATCGCCCTCCCCGCAAGCAGGCTTAGGGCAGTGTACAACAAAATCCTGTAAAACACATGTTGTTGTTGTTCAGTCGCACAGCCAAGTCCGACTCTTCGCGACCACATTATGCCATGCCCCCCTGTCTTCTGTCGTGCTCTGGAGTTTGCTCAACTTCATGTTCGTTGCATCGATGACACTGTCTAACCATCTCATCCTTTGCCGTCCCCGTCTTCTTTGACCTTCAATCTTTCCCAGCATCAGGGTCTTCTCCAGTGAGTGCTCCCTTCTCATTTGGTGGCCAAAGTATTTGAGCTTCAGCTTCATTATCTGGTCTTCCAGGGAACAGTCAGGGTTGATTTCTTTCAGGATTGACTGATTTGATCTTCTTGCAGTCCAAGGGACTCTCAAGAGTCTTCTCCAGCACCATAGTTCAAAAGAATCTATTCTTCAGCGCTCGGCCTTCCTTAATAGTCCAACTCTCGCAGCCATATATTGACTACTGGGAATACCATTGCTTTGACCATACGGACTTTTGTTGGCAGGGTGATGTCTCTGCTTTTTATTATGCTTTCTAGGTTCGCCATTGCTTTCCTCCCAAGGAGCAGGCGTCTTTTAATTTCATGGTTGCAGTCACCGTCTGCAGTAATCTTGGATCCCAGGAACGTGAAGTCTCTCACTGCTTCCATGAAACACATATAAAATCATAAAACATATAATAAAATCATAAATAAATCTAAAGTGCAATTCTAAAAATACCCCAAACCCACATGGCATGTAATACAATTTTAGTCCCTCGATTTACTTTACTTTTAACAGTACTTTTAACAGTGGGGGGAGAGGGTAGAAATAGTTAGTTCCTAAGAGGACTCTGTAAACATTCATATCTGATAATACTAAGTTGGCTGGCCCTTGAATGCCATCCACTGGGGCCACCCATATATGTGGAAGGGGCTTCCCACCTACTGGGGGTCCATGGGTGGGGAACTCAGTGGTGTCACATTAAGCTCAGGGGAACCCAGGTTCAAATCCCCTCTCTGCCATAAAAGCTTGCTGGGTGACCTTGGGCCAGTCACACAGTCTTAGCCTAACCTACCTCACAGGGTTATTGTGATGACAAAACCAAGAAGAGGAGAATGACATAAGCAGCTTTGGGTCTGTGGTGTCAGAGGCTATTTTCTTGCCTGAGGCAAGGGTTCTTTCAAATGGATTTGGGTGGTCAGAAGCTCAACAAGGCAAGGTACTCTGGTAACATAAATATACTCTAGTTGCAAAAAATAAAACAAACCACAAATATACATAAAGAAGGCTCATCATAGCCCTCTAGGCACTGGAGTCTCTTGCAGTAAGTAACCATTTCCAACAGCTCCAGGTCCTCTGTTGCCTCTTCCTCCTTATATACTGCTTAGGTGCAGCCTCCTAGCATGGGTGTCATCTGGCAGGCATGTTAAGCCAGGTCCTAGTGCTGGCACCTGACATCCCCATGTTAGGAAGGGAATTGATCCTGCAGCCACTTTGATGGAACCTAGCTGCCAACGGGCTGTAAGCTCAGATAATGTTCCCAGAAAACAACATTCTCTACTACTCCTCAAGGGGTGTTTCCATAATGGCACTACAGGCCCCCATTGGGCAGAAAGGCGGGATATAAATAAAGTAAATTTTAAAAATGTGACTTGGTAGAGTCACTGGGAAACGAGCCAACTTCTTCCCTCTCTCCTTCTCCTCCAAAGTCTGATGACAGCGACTGAATGTTAAAGGAAAGGGGATAGGTTTGGAAATATTAGCCTTCTCCAGACCCAGAATGAGGCTGTGGGCTATGCCGTGGAGGGCCACCCAAGACGGACAGGCCACAGCAGAAAACTCAGACCAAGTGTGGTCCACTGGAGAAGGAAATGACAACCGACTCCAGTATTTTTGCCAAGGAAACCCCATGGACAGTATCAAAAGGCTAAAAGATATGACGCCGGAAGATGAGCCCCTCAGGTCGGAAGGTGTCCAATATGCTACTGGGGAAGAGCAGAGGGCAAGTACAAGTAACCCCAGAAAGAGTGAAGCGGCTGGGCCAAAGCCGAAAGGACGCTCAGTTGTGGATGTGTCTGATGGTGAAAGGAAAGTCCGATGCTGCAAAGAACAATACTGCATAGGAACCTGGAATTTAAGATCTATGAATCAAGGTAAGCTTGACGTGGTCAAAAATGAGATGGCAAGACTGAACATCGATATCTTAGGAAGACCATTGTATCTACTACTGTGGTCAGAAATCTCGTAGAAAAAATGGTGCTGGAGAAGACTCTATGGTGCTGGAGAAGACTCTTGAGAGTCCCTTGGACTGCAAGAAGATCAAATCAGTCAATCCTAAAAGAAATCAACCCTGACTGTTCCCTGGAAGGCCAGATAATGAAACTGAAGCTCAAATACTTTGGCCACCAAATGAGAAGGTAGCACTCACTGGAGAAGACCCTGATGCTGGGAAAGATTGAAGGTCAAAGAAGAAAGGGACGGCAAAGGATGAGAAGGTTAGACAGTGTCATCGATGCAACGAACATGAAATTGAGCAAACTTCAGAGGACGGCGGAAGACAGGAAGGCCTGAAGTGATTTGGTCCATGGGGTCGCAAAGAGTCGGACTCGACTGTGCGACTGAACAACAACAAAAGACCCAGAAAGCAAGAGGCTGAGATTTTGAAGAATGAGAAATGGTTTTTCTAAACTTGTCCCTTCCACCCTCACAATTCTTTGTAAGCCCCCAGCTTGTTATTTATGATAAACGCTGTGTATGTGTCACACTTCTTGTATATGAAGTAACATGATCTTGTTGCATTCCTTACAAGAGTCCTGTAAGGTAGATTGGTAGTAGAATCCCATGTTGTGAGTGAAATTCTTGGACTGGGGTGGCTGAGCCTGAAAAAAGATGGTGCGTTTAGGGCTACTGTTAAGGTCATGGCTGAAGTGAGTTTCTAGAAGATGTTGCTGAGCACAGTGAGCAAAACCACTGTCACTGCTTGGGCTTGTTGAATATCGTTTTCTTTATGCAAGGGGTTTTCCTGTTAATCCCCTGAATAGTTTGGGATTTTTAAAAAAGTGTATTTGGGTTGGTCTTTCTTTGCACAAGCATTCACACTGCTTGACAGCTTAATTCCCAGTCACATTCCAGAGGATTAGCCACATTAGCCAGTTGCAGTAAAATAAACCAGCAGTCCAGTGGTACCTCTAAAGACTAACAAAACTTGTTTCTTAGGTGTGTTTTAATCTGCTCCTAAATTGTGCGATCTAGAAACGTAGTATTTTTATAGGTGTGTTTTTAATCCACTCTTAAATTGTATAATCTGTATCAACAATTTATGCCAATAAAAGCAAACTTGAACTTGGAATAAGCTTTCGTACTCAGCTTATTTCATCAGGCGCGTAGGATGACATGGTCTCCGACTCACAAAAGAGTATGGTGCTAGTGGACTCCTTGTTTTATTTTCCCAGTGGCACACAACTCGGTGTGAACTTGCTTCACTGAGTGGACGCGCTAAGGGGGCACCAATTAGATGGAAAGTTTTTTCTGTGATGGCACATTCATAGTTGCAAGTGAAAGAAAGGGGGTTGTCCCACAAGCAGGAAAGACGTGAATTAGGTGGGACTGTAATTTAATGCATTAAATCATTCATCAGTGAAACTTCTCTGCGGCAGCTCTGTTACTTAGGGCAGTCCCCCACTTCTTAGTCCATTGGCCTTTTCGTTCCTTGTACTGCAGCTCTTGTAAGATTCAGGGTTGCCTACTCCTTCTTCATTGACAAGCAAGCCTGACGGCTGCCTCCACAAAGCTTCTGCCCTTTCACCTGCCCTGTTTAGCTGTGGCTTTTGGACTGGTCATGTGTTGCATGCCCAGACGTGTTTAAACAGCAGCCGAGGGCATGGGAGTTCAGGAGGATGCAGTCGCTGCAGAAAACAGATCTGGAATTGCCCACTGGCAAAAATTTGACATAGGAAAGGAAGCTGTGTTGATTGTGTCATGCACAGGCACGTGGTGTGAGAGCACAAACACGCATGCACACTCCATTGCTTCAGTCTTTAATATGAGGGACTGTAAGGGTGACTGGTATCCTTTGGTACGAGGGTATACCAAAAGAGACTGAGGCCTGTATGGTTCTATACAGGTAAGCTAGCCGCAGTCAGTGTCAGCTCGCTCTCGGCCATGCCTCCAACAAAGCAGCCTCTGCCACGCCACAGCTGCTCTTGGTGAGCATGATGAAGATCCCAAAAATCAGGACTGTCTAAGATCACCCATGCAGTGGATCCAACCCAGTGGAATGCACCGGTGGGTGTGGATTTCTCCCATGGTTCCTTTAGACCTCCAGAAATATTAGTAAAGGTGAAGGTTCCCTTGCTCGGAAGCCAGTCGAGTCCGACTCTTGGGTTGCAGTGCTCATCTCCGTTTCAAAGCCAAAGAGCCAGCGCTGTCCAAAGACGTTTCCGTGGTCATGTGGCCGGCATGACTAAACACCAAGGCGCACGGAACGCTGTTCCCTTCCCACCGAAGTGGTACCTATTTATCTACTTGCCATTTCTTGCTTTCGAACTGCTAGGTTGGCAGGAGCTGGAACTAGAGACGGGAGCTCACTCCGTCATGCAGCACACTCGGGTCTCGAACTGCTGAACTACCGACCTTCCACAGCCTGACGTTCAGCGTCTTAACCACTTGAGCCACCACAGCTCAATATTACCCATGAACAAAAACAGCTGTACAGCTTATGGAAAGGAGGGGAAGGGTGGAATGGCTCCTCCTGTCACTTCCACCAGCACATGAGAGGGCAGTTGCTGTACCCTCTTCTTGCTCTTCACTGCATCCCCCAACCCATGTAGCGGTTTGTCCACGTGGATCCTCCAGTTCCAGAAATAATATTTTGTGGGGCTAATACAGGGGGAATTCATGCATTCTGTACCAAGAGTTGGCCAGATCCAACCCCGTTTGTTTCTGTAATTATTGTGATTCTCTTTCTAGTTTATTGTTGCTCTCTTTATGTTCATATTTTAAATATTTGACTGATCCATTGGTCAAAGGTCTCTGTCTCTCCGCTTTTTACTGGTCACGTTTCGGTCTGAAACACGTTGCTATGACTTTAAATACTGAAATTGCAAATGGCTTCCTAACTAATTTTTCTCTTTCAAGACCCTAGTTTGGTTTATGTCACGATTCAGTGAAGGTTAAACTTAGTGTGCTAAAATAACACTTGTTATTCAAGTCTTGGAAATACTTAGCTGTGCAGGTTTTTCTCTCTTATTTCATATAGATTCTCATTTTAGAATCAATATCTTTTCCCCGTCCCTGTAGGAGTTGCTCAGGGTGATGAGAACAATTGACGACAGGATAGTCCATGAGTTAAACACGACTGTTCCAACTACTTCTTTTGAGGGAAAAGTTGACGCTAGCCAAACCTGTAAGGAACTTTATGAGTCTGTAAGTATTTTAGTGGACTTTCCGTCCTTTGCATGTGTGTTTTTGTAATGGGCAATAGCATGTAAGGGGCTGGCTTTAGCATCTTCACTGTCCATTTTTGTCCTTGTTCTGTGCTCTTGCGCACCTCTCCTTTGCATTCCTGGATGTCCTGGAGGGCTAGCCTGGTATCACTGCATGAGAGTAAAGCGGTGGATCTACTTGCTTGCATCTGTGAGCAGGAAGGGAGAGGAAACCGGTGCAGAGTCAGGAGGCTTGCACTTTATTCATGATGTCTTTGCGGAAAGCTGTCATTCCCGTGCCCTTGGCAAATGTGGCCTTCACCTATTTAGTTCTCTATTTTAACCAGGATGCTTGCATCACTTGTTTGTGATTTTTCTCCCCCTCGCTGTTTATTTAGCTGACGGAGGCTCACGCGAGTAGAGAAAAACTTATCAAAAGTTGCATTGCTCAAGCCTCTAACATAGTAAAAAATCTCCAGGAAGAGAGGAAGACGTCTCTGGAGGACATAGCCTTATTAAAGACGCTCAGGAAAGAGCAGACAAAAGTGAGTAGAAGGGTTCTGTGGCTTTATTTTTGAATGCTACATGTAGAACTCACCAGCGACTGTTACAAAGAAAAATGAATACCAAGTAGTGCCTAAGGGTTAACATGAGACCATAATTCCTTGGGCCAGGGGCCTGTGCTTTGCATGCAGAATGTCCCAGGTTCAGTCGCCATCATCTCCACTTAAAAGGATCAGGTAACAGGTGGTGTGCAGGACCTCTGCTTCAGACCCTGGAGAGCCGCTGCCAGTCTGAGTAGACAGTACTGAGCTCGAAGGATCAGTTGTCTTGAATCAGTATAAGGCAGCTCCATGTGAGTTCAGCATTGGGCAAAGATGGATCCTAGGGTAGTTTATTTATCATTTGGCATTCTTGAAGATAACTGGTGGACTCCATCATTTCCCTCACTTGCCATTTCCTATTTAAACCAGCCCATCTAGCAATGAAGCCATCTCTGTCTGCAGTCAGCATCGACAGCAGTAAAACCACTAATGCCTCAGCAGCATAAAACTATAACAGCAGCAATAACACCAGGTCGTAAATACCTCAGATAGTTTAGATATAGGATGAGGATCATAAACTAATAAAAAGTGGACTAAAACGTCTGTTTAAAGCCTGCAGAAAGATTGCTTCATCTCGCCATTTGTGGCTTTCAGTTGATGCCCCCAAGGCCCTTGCCCCCCCCCCCAGAAACTCCTCATTTTTGCATGTATACCTATGGGCCTAGGATTGATAGAAGGAGCCTGAATTAAACTAATATAAAAAATCGAGTAAGTAGTGCCAAGGAAGGGACGTAGGGCAGCTCCTCTTATGAATCACGCAAATATCTACCCTGAGAGGGCTTCATTTGAGGGCTATTTCTCTCAAGGACCTCGGAGCCCCTTCCCAGATAATTTGATCTTAACTAACAACCCAGATTTCCAGTAACCAACAGGCCAGTTCCAGCACTTTCCCAGCTATCTCAACGACCAGACAGGAAGATTCCTGCCATTCCCCAATTTTGACAAATGCTTGGTCATAGACACTTAAATATCTAACTTCCAAATTTCCCCAAGTGAACATTTTTGATACTCTCAAGGTACAAGGGGGAAAATCCCCTTCGCAAGACACACAAAGGATTTCTTTTCAGGCTGGTTCATTGAACTTTTATTACTCTACATTTCAGCACCGACACCCCTTCCAGCTTGGTGTAGTGGTTAAGAGAGTGGACTCTAATCTGGGACAACTGGGTTTGATTCCCCACTCCTCCACTTGCAGCTGCTGGATGACCTTGGGCAAGGCATAGTTCTGCCAGAGCTGTTCTGTCATGGACAGTTCTGGAAAGAGCTCTCTCAGCCCCACCTACCTCACAGGGTGTCTGTTGTGGGGAGGGGAAGGGAAAGGAGTTTGTGAGCTGCTCTGAGACTCTGTGTGAAGGGTGGGGTGTAAATCGAATCTCCACTTCTTCTTCTCGTCTTCCTCTCCTCATTCTTGGCAAAATGGCATAAAGAGTTACCCCTCGGCCCCAATTTTTATAGGCCGTCTGGAACACCTCCTGTTACCCCCAGCCTCTCAGTTATCCTCCTCTGTTCCATGGGGCTGTCTCCATGTCTCTTTTCCCTGCCTGGCCTGTGTTGTGTAGGATCCAAGCCTGCCTGGCCTGTGTGCTGCCTTAGAGAAATTAGTTACTAGAACTCTGGGCAGCGTTATGTAGGAGGGTGCCCATTAGAACAGGGGTCCCCAACCTGTTTGAGCCCGTGGGCACCTTCGGGGATTCTGACACATGGTTGGCACAACGACAAAATGGCAGAGTCACACACATACGGGAAGCCCAAGAAGAAGGGCAATTAAAAAAAAACACATTGGGAAAGAGGAGTGAGAGAGAATAAAAGCAGCACTGTGGCAGTCGCTGCTGCTAGAACAATGCTGTTTTGAACTGCACAGTCTATTGGATCTCCAGTGCCCAATTAACAACTCTGCCGGACAGGCACCCCACATGGCTCCACCTAGTTTCTAAAAACACTTGGTGCTAGAAAAGGTATTGATGGGTGCCTTGGCGCCCGCGGGCACCACGTTGGGGACCCACCCTTTAGAATACTGCATAGGTATCAGGAAGGAGCCGAGAAGTCATTGGACTGAATTCGGCGTGTGGCAAAGGAGCAGAAGAAGAGCAGTGCCTGACTTGCCCCCCCAGAAGTCCTTCTGGTTTCCCCAAGCATGTGACGTCGGGAGAAAACAGCGGCCAAACTCACGAGAGCAGTGGGCAAAGCGGCCACTCTTAACAGGGGCTTCCACTGGTTGATTCAAAGCAGAGCATTTCTTTTCTCTCTCCCGCAGTTGAAATTAATGCAGTCAGAGCTGAACGTTGAAGAAGTGGTAAACGACAGAAGCTGGAAGGTACGGAGCACTGGCGGCTCCGGTTCCGGGTGCATGTTTGTGTGTTGCGGCACTGTGCGAATGTGATGCTTCCAAATGCTAGTAGTGCGAGCTGAACTGGGGTTTTTAAAAAATGTTTCTTTAGATGATTTACGACTCCTCTTCCCTCCCCCCCCAAATGGGACCCAAGCTGCTTGCAAAAACACCTAAATGTAATAGATCAAGATGGGTAGCCATGTTAGGTTTGTCTGTAGCCGTAGAAAAGAGCAAGAGTCCAGCGGCACCTGAAAGACTAACAAAATATGTGGCAGGGGAGGAGCTTTCGTGAGGCACAGCTCACTTCTGAAGAACGTAATATAAGCGAACAGCTTAAACAAGCAAATGATAATTGTATAAGAAAAAACAAAAAGACAAAGACCTCCTCCTGAGTAAGTTCTGAATGCCATGCTGAATGTTTAGCAATGGACATGGGTCACAAGTGTAAGGCATAAAAGCCCTTTGGCTAGAGGTTGTGGCTTTGCTTAGGTTGGAAGCGCACCTCTGAACAGGAAGAAGACAGAAATCCTGCCGGGCGTTCTGTGGCAGCCAAGATGCTCCCTCGGACTCGCTCCCCCCCTCCCCCGCTCCTTTATTTGAACATATCTCTGTGTTGCCAGACAGTGGATAACGCAGTGGATTGAACAAGAGCGCCTACATGATCAGAATGTCAAACACAGCTGAACCTCACAGCAGCAAGAAGCGATCACAGACTTCACTCCCCGGAACAATACTGATGTATCTGGCACTGGAAATAACAGAAGAGAGGATGCCAGTGGAAACACTCAGATACAATCCCCACTTGGATGCAGTTTGCATGGCTGCCCTTAGTTTAGTCTCTCCTAGCCTAGCCTACTTTACTCGGCTGATGTGAGGGTAAAATGGCAGGAGGGAGAACTGTGTGGCCCTCTGTGAGCTCCGTGAGAGGAAGGCAGACGAAAAGGTATTAGACAGAGGCTAAGCCCACTGAGAACCATGTCTGTTCCTTTCCGCAGAGCCCTGTCCAGAGTCTTCTTTTGATTACGACAAGTCTGTGGTGCAGGGGTGGAGACTGACTTCTAGGTTGGCCGGCACGTCAGCGGCTTGAAATCAATTTTCTGTCTGTCCTTTGTTTGTGAGCCCATCTGATTTAGGGGCATATCACAGACTGAGCTGACCTCGTCAGCTGAATGAAAGGTGCCACGCCAGGGCTTCTTCTGAGTTGGGAGCCAAATCCCTCCAGTTCGGTGTTGTGGTTAAGTGCGCGGACTCTAATCTGGGAGAACTGGGTTTGATTCCCCACTCCTCCACTTGCAGCTGCTGGATGACCTTGGGCAAGCCGTAGTTCTGACAAGAGCTGTCCTTGAAAGAGAGCAGTTTCTGTCAAGAGCTCTCTCAGCCCCACCCACCTCACAGGGTGTCTGTCGTGGGGAGGGGAAGGGAAAGGAGTTTGTAAGCCACTCTGAGACACCTTCGGGTAGTGAAGGGCGGGGTATAAATCCAATCTCTTCTCTTCTTCTTCTAAAATCAGGAAGGGAGAACTATATATAGCACTTTCAGGTCTTTGTAGGGAGCCTGTGCCAGAACGGAGAGGGTATGAGAGTTGCAAGGCAGTCTGGATGTTAAAAGGGTCCTGTCAGAAACCTGGTTAAATCAGCCAGTCTGTAGGAAGCTAGCTTTATTGAGATTGTTGATAAATACCATTCTGGACACGTCCTTGTTAGAACTAACGGTGAGCACAAGAAGGTTACAGAGATAGTGGTTTCAAGCAGAAGTAATAAAGATCAGGACCCAATCACCCCACAGTATTAGCTCGCCAGAACTAACAGCTAACATTTGGCTCCACTACGGTGTCAAAGGGGAACCCTTCTCTCCATGGCAGGCGAGCTGTAAAATTCACAGAGAGCCTGACAGGTCCCCAGCCTTTTTGAGCCTACAGGCAACTTTGGAACTGTGACCCAGCGTGGTGGGCGCAGCCACAAAATGGCTGCCATAGAATAGATGCTGTGGGAGCCAGAGCCAGCCACAAAATGGCTGCCGTGGCTTATCTACAGTCACATGGTGAAGATCCTTGTGTTGTGGTGGCAGTGAGGTACTGCCAAAGCAATGTGTTTTTAAAATCTGCACGGCCAGTCAGAAGCCTTGCTGGCCAAAGTCCCATCTGGCCCCACCCGCTTTCCAAAAACACTTGGGCGGGTGGCAGGAAAGGTGACCGTGGACTCCACGGTGCCATGTTGGGGACCCCTAAGGGCCAGCGCTCAAGGGAGTATCTTCCTGGGATCCCCCCACTTCAAACTGCAGCCGGAGGAGTTTCCCCATGTTGAAAATCCACTGCCTACAGAAAGCTATCAAGCCAGGAAGGAGGGTATTTTGTGCATGTGTGTGCATGTGCGTGTGTACATGTTATGTACAAGGAGGTTTGGGGGTTTTTAATGTGGGGAAGCATATAAGCATGAACTTTCCCTCTCCTGTATATTCAAGAGGTTTCTCCAGAGCGTGTTATCAATTCAAACTGATATTTACTGTATATTAGTATATAACTATGTACATACTAATATAGTAGTATATACCTCTTTATACTATATATTAGTATATATATTACATACTATATACCTCTATATATTGCTGGCTACTCACATACAATTGCTATTTATGTGTTTTACTTCTCACGTAAGCCACCCTGAGCCTGCTTCGGCGGGGAGGGCGGGGTATAAATTGAATGAATGAATGAATTATATTAGTAAGTGCCCTGACCTGGATAGCCCGATCCCGTCAGATCTCAGAAGCTAAGCAGGGTCGGCCCTTAGCTAGTATTTGGATGGGAGACCTCCAAGGAATACCAGGGTCGGGACGTGGAGGCAGGCAATGGCAAACCACCTCTGGATGTCTCTTGCCTTGAAACTGCCACCAGGGGTCGCTATAAGCCAGCTGCGTCTCGACGGCACTTTCTTCCACCATATTACTAAGTTTGTCTGCAGAGTGAGATACCCAGCAAATTTTGTCACTTATATTAACAATGCTTATTTAAAGACAAACACACACACCCTTTTTTGTCTTGGGTTTCCTAGATATTTAATGAACGCTGCCGAGCTCATTATAAGCCTCCGAAGAGTCAATGAGGTGAGCAGGGGTTCAGGAGATGCCGCGGGAAGTGGACTTCAATCATGCCAAACATAGAGACGTGGAAGAGATGCGGAACAAGCTACATGGGACCTTTTGAGAGAGAAACACACACACATGCAGCAGATCCATGGAGTTCATCCCAGTGATTGATTGATGGATTAATTTTTGTTTTTTTGCTAATTAAGATAATCTAACTGCTATTTTGTACAAGATGTGTGGGGGGAAAACATTTATTAAAAAAATCAGAGGAAATGCGATGCCAGCCTATTTTGTTCCACATCCCCAGGTATTTCTTTACTTACCTTTTCACTTCACACACTGAAGATCCTTGGGTTGCGGTAAAGTGACGTTTTAAAAAATCTGTGCAGCCAATAACACCTCCAGTAGCCGATCAGAAGCCTTGCTGGGCCAAAGCCCCATCTAGCCCTACCCACTTTCTAAAAACGCTTGGTGGGTGCTAGAAAAGGTGTCAATGGGTGCCATGGCACCCGTGGGCACCACGTTGGGGACCCAAAGCGGCTTATCTCTCCTCCACTCCTCCCATTTTTATCCCTGCAAGAAAAGATGGAGAATGGCTGCAGTTTGGGCCAAGAAACAGCTTCTGCTGTCGTTTTGGCATGCAGAAATGCATAATGGTGCAGAAATGCATAATGGAAGTGGCTTGACTCTGGTTGTAGCCCAGCTAGGCATAAGAATCGAATAAAGGTCCTGAGAGTGGAAGACTTACATATGACAGTACAGTCTAAAAAGCAGGGTATTGCCATACGTACATTCCAGTAACAATCTGTGAGCAAGCCATCCCCCTGGGTGGCCACTCACACACACATTCCAGTTCACGTCCAGAGTTTCAGGTGATGCAGTTGTAGGTGTGTTTACATTGGGTGCTTGTGCAGTTGGGACAGTGAACAACCAGATTGGGGAGGGGGCACTTAAAACGAGTTGATTTGCTACATGAAGAAATACTGAAGTTCCTCGGCCCTGATCAAGAGGGCCAGATTTATGGTTGCATCCTTGAATTGGCTTTATGACGTCACTGTAACGCCAGCGTTCACTTCCTGGTTTCTCTGAGTGGCCTTCCAGCAGACGGGGCAGTGGCATAATTAAAGCCTCCTATACGTTTGTTCGATTTATGAAGCTAGATTGGAACAGCTAGGATTTACTTCTGTTTTGTTTTATTATCTAGGGGAAATGATAAAAGTAGTATTGCCGCAGGTTAAAAAGCAGTTATTAAAATTCGATTTTAGAAGTCCAAATCCGCAAGCAAGAAGAGTGTGTTTTCTTTCCTGTAATGGATTAGAATTCCCAGTAACCATTCCGGCACACTTAAAATCTTTGACTGTTTCCAGATTCTGCAGTATACATGTATTTTTGGGTGTCAGTATCACCTGATTTAAAAGACCGATTTGCAGGAGTCCCTTTTCAGAATGTTGGTGCTTCTGTAACACAGGGAAGATAGGTACCTTGGACCACTTAGTCCTTGAATGCCCTGTTTTGGTGTAATGGTTAAGAGCGCAGACTCTAATCTGGGAGAACCGGGTTTGATTCCCCACTCCTCCACATGCAGCTGCTGCTGTGACCTTGGCTCAGTCAGAAGTTCTCTCAGAGCTGTTCTCTCACAGGCAGTCCTCAAAAGAGCTCTCTCAGCCCCACCTACCTCACAGGGGTCTGTTGTGGGGAAGGGAAAGGAGATTGTAATCTGCTCTGAGACTCCTTCGGGTAGTGAAGGGCAGGGTATAAATCCGATCTCTTCTTTTTTAGTGAAGATAGAGATGGATAACCCCGTTGTTTGATAGGTGCACATAAATTCATCCTTCCCTAAGTTTTTCCTTCTGCAGGATAGGGATCCGAATGTTACTAAGTCCTTGGCCTCTTATCTCTTGGTAATTCAGCATAAAATAAACATTTTAAAACTTTTATAATTAGGGTGGAATTAGAAAGGAAGAGGGAGATTTAAAAAAAATATAGTATGGTTAGGCTTGAAGCTATGGCCGGCAATGCCTTATCATCGAAGGAAGGAAGATATGTGAAACGGCTAACCCAGCACAGATAGAAATTGTTCCAAAACGAATTGACACCCCAAAATGTTTTCCTGACAGGAAGTCAGTTGCTTCAGCTCCAGAAGAGTCGCCGTTCTAATTCACGGGAGCAAAAACCCGGATATGTATGGAATTTTGTATGGAGGATTGTGGCCTGTGTTAGATGTAACATGCTGAAATTAAGTATTTGCTGTTTAACTCTTCAACAGCAGCATACGTTTGTGAGAATTCTGGCTTGTATCCTAACCATCCACACATCCATGCGTGAAAGAGACTCTGACTAAAATATTTTAAATTAACAAAACTAGATTTTGAGAGCGGAGGGATATTAAGGGTCACATAGTAATGTTACAGACAACATCAAAATGTGTTAATGCTTACAGAGCCTATGTACCAGGGTTCCCCATCGCTCCCGCTGACACTGTTCCTGCACCAGCCGAGTGTTTTTAGAAAGCAGGGCGGGGCTAGGTTGAGCTTTTGCCTAGCAGGGCTGCCAATTGGCCACTGGATCTGATTGGTCCATGCAGATTACAAAAGCGTTCCGTTAAGCAGCGTTTCTGCCTGAAATGTTGAACAGTATTGTCAAGAGTGATGCGTAGCCACGTTCCCGGACGTTTTGTGGGGGACTCAGCCCACCGCCCTGTGTCAGAATTCCAAAGGTGCCTGCAAGCTCAAAAAAGTTAGGGACCCCTGCTGTATACACCATCACTCCTTGGCAAATAGAAGGGGAAGTCGTGGAAGTAGTGACAGACTTCACGTTCCTGGGATCCCAGATCACCGCAGACTGTGACAGCAGCCATGAAATTAAAAGATTTCCTTGGGAGGAAAGTGATGGCGAACCTAAACAGCATGATAAAAAGTAGAGACATCACCCTGCCAACAAAAGTCCGCATGGTCAAAGCAATGGTATTCCCAGTAGTCATGTATGGCTGTGAGAGTTGGACTATAAGGAAGGCCGAGCGCCGAAGAATAGATTCTTTTGAACTATGGTGCTGGAGGAGACTCTTGAGAGTCCCTTGGACTGCAAGGAGATCAAATCAGTCAATCCTCAAAGAAATCAACCCTGACTGTTCCCTGGAAGGCCAGATAATGAAACTGAAGCTCAAATACTTTGGCCACCAAATGAGAAGGGAGCACTCACTGGAGAAGACCCTGATGCTGGGAAAGATTGAAGGTCAAAGAAGACGGGGACGGCAAAGGATGAGATGGTTAGACAGTGTTATTGAGGCAACGGACATGAAATTAAGCAAACTTCAGAGGATGGCGGAAGACGGGGGCCTGGCGTGATGTGGTCCATGGGGTTGCGAAGAGTCGGACTCGACTGTGCGACTGAACAACAACAAAACACATTATTTGAAACCTATGTGGTTCCCTATTCTTTATGCAGCACTCCAGGACCAAATACATTCCAGGACCGTGCAAGGGCCGATTTACTTGCCCCTCCCCGACCCCCAGAATGTTGTTCATGTGGGTATAAGAGCCAAGCTGGAATCCAACTAATGAAGAAGAGTTGGTTTTTATACCCTACTTTTCTGTACCCTAAAGGGTCTCAAAGCAGCTTACAATCACCTTTCCTTCTTCTCCCCACTCCAGGCACTTTATAAGGAAGATGAGGCTGAGAGAGTCCTGAGAGAACTGTGACTGGCCCAAGGTTACCCAGCAGGCTTCCTCTGGAGGAGTGGGGAATCGAACCCAGTTCTCCAGATTAGAGTCCACCACTACTACACCATGTCTTCCAAAGTAGCTTTGCTTTAAAAATGCACAGGGACTGTGCAATTAGGGATGACAGGCTTCTGGGGATCCCCTGGAATTACAGCTCATCTCCAGACTACAGCGATCAGTTCCTCTGGAGCAAATGGATGCTTGGGAGGGTGGACTCTGTGGCATTGTACCCCGCTGAGGTCACAGTCCTCCCCAGGCTCCACCACCAAATCTCCAGAGTTTTTCAGCCTGTATCTGGCAACCCTCCAATCCCTTGCCAGTGGCAAGGGGGGTCCTGTTAACCCTAGGCACAATGCCATAGAGTCCACCCTCCAAAGTATCCATTTTCTCCATGGGGGCCGATCTCTGTAGTCTGGATGTGAGGTGTAATTCCAGGGGATCCCTGGGTCCCTCCTGGAGACTGGCATCCCTATAATGGATGTCCTGCAACATTGGCCTGGCACTCCCAGCAGATACCCAGGAAGGGTTAGGAGTGCAGACTCTAATGTGGGTGAACCGGGTTTGAGTCCCCACTCCTCCACATGCAGCTGCTGGTGTGACCTTGGGTCAGTTACAAGTTGTTTCAGAGCTGTTCTTTCACGAGCAGTTCTCGAGAGAGCTCTCTCAACCCTACCTACCTCACCTGGTGTATGCTGTGGGGAGGGAAGGGAAGGAGATTGTAGGCCACTCTGAGACTCCTTCAGGTAGTAAAGGGTGGGGTATAAATCCAATCTCTTCTTCTTTGAAGATAGGACATTTGAAAACCACTGGCCTAGGGCAGCAACAAGTGGATTTTAGTGGGGTCTGGTTTGATTCTGCTGACATGGATAGGCCAGGCTAGCCTGATTTTGTCAGAACACTGAAACTAAGCTAGGTCAGCCCTGACTGGTGTTTGGAAGGGAGACTTCCAATGACAGGAATGCAGAGGCAGGCCATGGCAAGCCACCTCCGAACGTCTCTTGCCTTGAAAACCCCACATGGGATCAGCTCAAGTCGGCTGCGGCTGGATGGCAACAACACCCACAAATGGTTTAGGGCTTCCGTTTTATTTTAGTAGTCTTTAATTTCTAAGGAATTTGATCTGGCTGTATTCATGATGGCCTTTGATTATGCAAATTTTCCTGAATATTTTTCAGGTGAAATCTGCCCTGTTGGTTCATTTAGCCATTTGTATGCCACTTCTATACCCTAAGGAACTCAAAATGGCTTCCCAAAATGTCCAAAACAAACCAAATTAAGCACTTAATTTCAGGGCTCATTTCGTAGAAAAAGAGGTGCAGGAAATCATTAGCATAACTTATTTGCATATGCCACACCCCCTGACATCACCGGAAGTGTGTCAGAAGGCAACACCCACCATTCAGGCTCCACTGGACTGTTTTGGGTTGCTAGCTATTGGGGGGGGGGGGTGCAGATCTGCCCTCACAG